AATTTGTTATGCAGCAATTGATAACTAATATAAAGCCAAAACCCATTTCAAGGGCAGGTTTTAATGGGCGAGGACCTCAGGCAGGGAGGGCAAGCTCTAGAAAGGAAGTTGCCAGTAAAGGGGTAGAGTTACATAGGACAATGCATACTTATTTCTCACTTTCATCAATGTATACCTATTTCTTAATTTGTATCCTAATTTTTCAGGTTATACAAATATAAAAGTTATATTTGAAAGTACAGACAGTGAGAGCTGAACTGACATTATCCAGCTCTTGCACTTGACAAAATAGAGAACCAAGACCTAGAACGGATGCCTTCAGGTGTTCCATGTCACCTAACAACCCAGTTGTAAGGCTGGGATTGAAAGCCAGGCCTGCCAACACCTGGTCCAGGGCTCTTTCAGTTGTACCATGCAACTTCCTTCTTCACAGTTAAAGAAAGAAAGGAAAGAAGTTCAGGATTAATCGTTGCAGTTCTCTAAAGTATTCTTAAAAGCTGACCACATTTCTCATTTTAATAAATGTCAAAAGTGGGCTTTCAAAGCCTTTTTCCACAGTTTGTATAGAAGGCAGTCATTCATTCATCCAACGACATTTTATTGGGCACCTACGATGTGCCAGGCACTGGGGTGGTTATGATGGTAAAAGCATTTGTTGGAGATACAAATGAAGCAGCAGGTGAATCTTGTCTCTTTTATCAGTGGTGTTTTCTTCTGTTATCATCAATAAATCCATTTGTCCCATAGACAGAAATCATTTAAGGTGCAATTATTCAATCTCCATATTGATTCAAAGCTTTTAATGCTCCTTTAGAGCAACATCCTTTAGAGAGTTGATTGCAGTTCCAGACTCAGTGTGGGCAGGAAAGTCTTTTGACAGTGGTTCCAGATGAGGCAACGTCCACGTTTCCAGGCACTCCTCCCTGCAGAGGGAGAATGCCCTGGGTCCTGAGCCAGGGCTCATGACTGGGGATAAAGAACCCTCTTTGAATAACTGCTATGGCTTCACTTGAATTATTAGGCACCAAGTAAATTCTTAAAAAGAATACGGAAAGTGAGACACTCTCTGACACATTTTGTGAGCCACAATGTGCTGGCAGTGAAACTGCATGGGTTTCTGGAATCCCAAATCCTGGAAACAGTCTTGGTTCCACACTCTCTAGTTAAGCGACATTGGGCAAGCCAGTTAATGTTGAACCTCTCGTTATTCGTGTGCAAAATAATGAGGATAATGATAATTATACCACTTGCCTGGGGGAAGTGCTTTGTAAGCTAATAAACAATCTTCAACACTTCCCTTATTCCTCAATTATAAGATCCCTGAAAGCCAAGATGGTGATCCATGTTTTAATCTTTCACAGTCTCTAGGGCCGTGCCCAACACTTAGTACGTACTCACTAAATATTTATGGAAAAGCTACTACTCAATAATAGTGATATTCTATGAGTCCCTACCATGTGCCTGACAATGTCCTAAACACTTCGCTTCTATTGGCTTTCGTTTCCTCACAGTGACTCCATGAGGTAAATACTATTATTCTATTACTCTGGGGAGGAAACTGAGGCACAAAGCATTTGAATAATTTTCACAGTCACATAGTAAGTGGCAGAGCTGGAATTTAAACCCACACAGAGGGGCTAACTGCCAAGATTTACTGCCTCTCTATAAGAACTGCATATTGATCTACTGTTTCTCATTAGGAGAAACACAGGCAGAAAGAAAAGAATGAGTTCCCTTATGTTGAATTAATGGGTACTTCTTTTAAATGAGTTTTTATCCAATATCCAAGGGAAAAAAAAACACCCAAAAGCAAACCTTTCCCAAAACAAGCAAAAGACCCCCAGATCACATCAATCCAGATAAAATTGTATTGAATCCCCTCCAGTTCAGTCTTCCTTTCAGTTGAGTGAGGCCTTGACAATTGGTCGTTCAGGATGCTGAGGTGAAGCTGAGGGCTTTTCATCTGGGAGAATATCTGAAAGGCAAGAAGCAGGCTGGGAGATGTTAGCTGTGCCTGAAAATTATTTATGCAAACTAGTGGGTCTTGGCTGACTCTGGCCTGTAGCCTGCCTATCTTCTGTCACAGTGAGCATAAATGACAGGAGATGAATAAATTAAAAGACTAGGAAAGACCTACACCATAGGCAAATGGCAGAACATTTCTGAAAAATCCAGAAGTGGGGAAAAGGGAGGTGAAGAAGAAACTAGCATTTCTTGAATGCAACTTGTGCTAGATATATAAAATCTTATTTTATCTTCATCCCAGTGAGTTGGTTCATGTTAAAAACATCTTGCAGATAAGGAAGCTGAGGCTCGAAGAGGTTGAGTAATGCCACCAAGAAGCTCTCTTAGCTGGGATTCAAAACCAGGCTTCCCCTACTTGCTTCCAAAGCCTGTGGCCTTTCCCTTCTGCTGCTAGTATGTTCCACCTCTACTGCCAGAGTCTTGACTGACTGATTTCACTGAGCTGCAGGGTTAATTGTAAGGAACTACTGGTGAGCCAGAAGACAACTATAAAATGGCCAAGAAAACATTGCTATTATGTTGGTCACGGAGGAGAGAGGAACAAAGCGGCTGAAAGGAAGAAGGAAAGCCCAACAGAAATCACAAAAGATTGTGAGTCAGAGAAAAGACTTTAAGCTTTTGACAAAGTGTGGAAAGAAGAAAATGGTACTCCTACAGTGTGAGTCTTCCAGAGGATAGGTTTCTGATTCTAATAATCCTGTTAAAAAGCAAGAGAAATCTCCAGGAAACTCTACATACCCCTTTTTTCAAAGACGGCTACTTGCTTTTTGCCTTTTGTCATTTCCACTCAACTCCCTTTCTTTGCCTCAAGGTCACTGGTTTGGGACCTTTCTGCTTTCCATGAACCATGAATTAGTTTTTGACTTTTTGCCCTATTCTTTAAGGAGCAGTCATGCCAAGATCAAATTGCCCAAGGTGTTTAGGTCAGCTGTCACTGAATGCAGATCCACAGATGGGACGTGGCCCGTGATGAGGTTGTCAGTGCTCTGTGGTGGAGTGAGAGAAACTGGAATAACCCAGTGAGCTTTTCATAAGGCTAAATGCATTCAATATCAACTGTCTTTTATTCTGAGATTATGTCCTTCTTGCTTGTTTGATGTTTCAATGTTTCTTGTCTTATGAAATGATGATGAGAGTAGATGATTCTCCTTAAATACTTAAAAATAATCTAAATGGTCTGTGAAATCCTTTCCTAGTCAATTTCAGACACCAATTTGAGAGATATGCCTAGTCCATTGGAAAGAGTCTGGTGATGGATACTGATTAAGACTCAGAAAAATATCTCAGTGGGCAAGCTACAGATATATTTGATGGAAGAGTTCATAGGCTGTTTTAAAGACTAAGTTAGATTATATATATAAAGTTCCTACTGCAGCATCTGGTTGGTAAAAGTATGCGGTTTTTTTTTCTCATCAAAATTAAAACTAGGGGTTACTACTGGCATTTTGGGCCAGGAAGATGAAAAGCCATGCTATTCTCAGACCTGTCCCAAAGAAGAGAGGGTTAAGGGAGAAGAAAAAGACTTCTTAAATACTTGCTTAAATATTGACAATACGCCAAGGGGGCCCTCTCCCCCTAGGAAGAAGCACAGTGCAATCCTTATGAATGAAAGAAAGGCGAGATTAACGTGTTCATCAATGCTGCACCCCCACAGGAGGCCAGCTCCTCTCACCCCTCAGTCTGCTTTTCATAGGGACTGGAGTGGAAGGAGAGAGAGGTGTTATCCAAAGGGCTGGCTCTGCTCTGGTGCCTCTCAGTAAATCCTAGAGAAGTGGCCGGTCCACATAGAGAATGTGGGGAATTGTACTGGCAGGTGCTTAGGTTAGGCCTTAGCTGAATCGCCAGGGCAATAGAGAAAGTCCTACTTGACGTCATGTTACATCTTGATGACAAATACCAGCTTGCATGCATATGGCGGCATCAGCCGTATTGGCAGCATCACCCACAGTGATAGCACTGGCCATATTGTCCCAGTGAAGTTCAACAGAAACTGGTGCTCTGAAGTTCCAGTTTTGTCTTTGACTCACCTTTAAAAACTTTGTTTTCCTCCATTTAAAGATTTTAGCTACAATTTAGAAATAGAGTGGGCTCCTCCTTCCTTCCTAATTATCTTGTCAACACAAACACATTTTCTTTTCTTGACAGACCACTTCAACCAATCAACAATATTTCTTGAGAAAATAGAAAAAAAGATAGTCGACCTAAGAACTTCTCTTTATTCTTAAATACTACCCGTCAACATGGCCAGCTTTTTTTTCTACGATTTCTCTAAAACTAGATGAAAAATTCCTTTGAAGGGCTGGAGCCGTGTTTTATCTGTCTTTGCATTTCTGGTAGCTAACACAATGTCTGACACCTTAGAGTTGTTTAAAAATAATTTGTTCCGTGATTACATTTCTCTTTGTACTGTTCACAGTGCCCAGCGCGATGTTGTGTATATATTAAGTGCTGAACAGCTTCATTATTGTTGAAATCCTGTATGGTCCCTTTGCCTCATTTTTCAGATCTCAAATGAGGTTTGCCTCATTTTCTTTCAGAAAGAAAGAGTTCCCTTAGAGAATGTGCCATTTAGTTTGAACCACATTTCTCAAAACTTTGCTTTCTTTGCGCTCATGCCAGAACATTATCATGGGAAGAGTCTTGAACAGGGCTCAGAAAATGATCTTCACACCTCAGTCCCTTTTAGAGACCCGTTGGAAGCCAGTGTTTCTATCTAGGCAGCCACTGGAACATTTACTTTTATTAACTTTGCTGCGCATGCTCCTTCCTCTGTTTAGCATCCTCTCCTCCCGGCTCAGCCCTGGAACATTCCCAGGTGGGGGATGGCCTGGTCAGGAGTCAGGCTCAGGGCTTCGGCTCGACTCGTAAATGTGGAAATAACAAAATGTGTCCCCTGAAGCTTTGCAGCGTTGTCAGGAAATGGGCTGCTTGCATGCTGCACTTCCATGGATCTGGAAATTCTGCTGAGCTTGGGTCGACTCCAGAAAAAAGTTTAAAAGTGTTCAGGGAAGGGAGGAATGAAAGCGGGCCATTAACTGGAGCCACCACCCGCGCTCCTGCTGAGTCTGGGTCTTGGCCGGCTCCTTGGCAGGGAGCAAGGCTGGAGCGCGGCTTGTGGACTGTGGCGGCGGAGTTTGCTTTTCTAAGGATCAGGGCTTTGCAGAAACTTTCCTTCCCACATTTTTCATATCTCAGAAATCTGCGTGGCACCCTTGGGAAGGAGTAGGGGCTAGGTACTGTTTCCGCCTGGAAGAAAACAAGCCACAGAGAGGTAGAAACTTAGAACTTCCAAGGGGTGAGCATTGTATCTTAACCATTTTAGCATACAGCCTGGCCTAGGCCCTCCATGAATGTGTGTGGAATAAGTGAATGGGTCAAAACGGTTGCTGTAACAATTCACGTGTAGTGAAGGCGGGCTCTGAGATCAACATTAGGTCTCTGGATACCCTTGAGCTACACCAGTGCCTCGGCTCGGGGGACGGAACGATGGAACTCAGCGCCAGTTTTGTCTGGTTATGCTGCTGACACACCTTCCCCATTATCCTAAACTAACGAAGGAATTTCCTGGCATTTGAAAAGGGTAAATTGAGTCTTCAGGTTGCACAATGGAGCTATCATAGTAGGGAGATGGAGTTTTGGTTAGAGGAACACAAAGTTCAAAGTCTTTTCCTTCTTGGTGGCTTTCTTTCTGTGTTCCTGCACCACCAAGGCTGTGAGACCCAGAAGTGGGGCTGTGAGGGCAGAGGCCAGGAGGCATGGTGGCCTCTAGTCCTTGCCCTAAGTTAGGCCCTAAGATGATGAGGTAGAAAAACGGACTAGGCACCGGGAAGAAGCACACCTGGTTTTGGGTAGTTGGTGATGTTTGTGTCAGCTGTTTCTCAGGAACCTCCCCAGGACACTAGAAAGGAATTTGACCACCAATCAAGTACAAAGAGAAGTGACTAGGGATTTAGGCTTGTTTCAAATGTATTTCATTATTTTTTCCCATGATGCAATTTGGGGATGATTTTTTGGGGCCCTCTCCCCACTGCCCCAAGAGGCTTCCACTGTGAGAATCTCTGACCTACAATGCTTGTGTTTGAATCCTGGTTCTTCCACTCCTCTGCTGTGTGACCTTGGGCAAGTCACTTAACCTCTCTGAGTCTCGGCTTCCTCAAATGGAAAGTGGGGATGATAACGGAACTTAAGTCACAGGTTTGTTATGAGGCTTTAATGACTTAACATATGTAAGGCTCTTAAAATAGTATACATATGCTAGCTAAGATTGTTGTCATTTTGCTTAAGCCCCATCAATCAGATAATCTGACACGGGGGCCAAATTAGATATCTTTCAAAATTGATACTTTTTGATAGAATCCTGTCTAGAGGCTGGAGAATGAACTAGTGGAACGCTCAAGGTTCTCTTACAAGTAATAGGCTCCTGTGAAAATTCTGATTTCCTTCTTTGTTACCATCACAACTAGCTTTGAACCATTCTTCGAGCTGAGCCCCTGAGTTCTTTGTAGGGCATAATGCACTAGTTCTCCGGACGAATTTTAGGGCAATTTGAGTATGTTGGTTAAGGTTTTTGAAATCTTACCATGAAAGGCTCTAAATGTCTATTCGCACGGCGCAGTGCGCCTCTTCTGCTTTGAGCACCAGTTGTGAAACCGAAGCCGGGATTAAACTGTGAAATGTCAGCGGATGGTCTGGAGTCTTCTGGAGTAAATTCCTGCACAGTAAGCACTTCGTTACTCGTCTCTAAATTATTTAAAAAAACAAAAAAAGGTGGGAGGGAGCTGGCTCAGATCACCTAGGCAAAGCGATTTTCCATGAGCACTGCTCTCCCAACGCACAACAGGAAACTTATTGAAAACCTAGCGGGTTGGAGAGAAACAGTAGCTAGCTTAACAAAAAGTGTCAAGAGAAGATAGGGAAAGAACGAAGAGGGCCCGAAATTACCCAAAGAGTACTGAACGTAGCTCTCTGGAAGGAGAACTTTCTGGAAAGTCATGCCTGAGAGTTTCGATAACTCTTCAGGGGGGTGTTCACACACACACAGACACACACAGACACACACACACACACACACACACATCTGGCACTTGAGTTGCAGATAACCTAATCCGACACTAACCTTGGCATAGCTACAGAAGTAATATTTTCACCGGGATGAACTGATCTTGAACGGTTTCTCCAATGCAGTAGTCATGCTTCAGCTTAACTTTAGACATGCAGAGTTTCCTTTTTTAAAACTCCTTTTAATGCACACGGCTTTCTGATTTGATCTAGGAAAGGAGAATATTACCATTTCCGAATGCCAGAGTTATTCATGCACTCATATAATATAAAAGCAATCAAGAATCATCTATAGCAAGGCAATCTATTTCGTAAAATAGGCGGACCTATCTTTTATGAGTTCCATTGAATCACCAGAATTGGGAAATCACAGAATTACCTAGAGAAACAAAAATAGAAAACAATGGTAAAGTCAGCATATTGCTTTAGACAGGTGATAACTTATTATTCTGCCAGATCTATGTTTTACTGCATAAAATAGGAATTAAAGTACATCTGATATTGCTATTTTATCCTTACTTTTATTAGAATTCCTTTTGAAGACACGTAAGCCATTTTGTATTTGCCCTCAAGATTTCAATACATAATGATGACTTTTTTGAGGTTTTACTGTGTCAGGCATTCTAGTTAGTGATTTAGCTACAATATTAAGGCAGTAGTTCTTAAAGTGGGTGCCCTGGATGCCTCACCTGGGAATTCGTTAGAAATTCAAATTCTTAGGCCTCCTTTCAGATCTGCTGAATGAGATGCTCTGGGAAGGAGACCCAGGAATCTGCAGTTTCATAAGCCCCCCAGGTGATTCTGGTGCAAGCTCAAGTTTGAGAACTAGTCAGTGAGTTAGGATAACAAACCACTGAATAGTTAGTTGGTTACTAACTACTCTACTGACTTAGGGTAAAGTTAATCCACTATAACAAAGAGGTTTGACAAGTATATCATCTTATTTAAATCTTGCTGAAACTAATGAGAAAGGATCATCGCACCCATTTTACAGCTGAGAACACTGAGACGAAGAGATTAACTTCACACAGCTGGATTCCATGTCAAGCCCATCTGTCTTCAAAGCCTATGTTTTTTCCCCTAGTCTACGGACCAACAACTGTCGCCCTTCTATATGGGCAAAGTTATTTTAAAATGGTTTACAAAGAGTTCTTAGATCTGGAGGTAATCAAGACTGAGAACTAGATACACTATTTGCCTTCAATCCAGAGAATCTGTTTCTTTCATTAATTTGACGTATGAACTCAGCAAATGACTTAGCCTCTTCTCTCATTTGAAATGGGATGATGATGGCGCATTTCATCAATGTCTGGTGAGCACAGAGGAGTTGGTTCCAGGGGACATGGAGCCCCTCAGATAGTACTATTTCGTTCAGTTCTACTTGACTAGGTACATGACACCCTGAAAAGTTATGTAAAAATACAATTTCCTCAATGAGGCATACTTCGAATATACCAGGGAAATCTCAATATAAAATATTACAGCCCCTAATTGTGAAGTAAAAATAACATTTTTGTGATACAAACCATATCCTCCAATACAGTATGTTTTGCCAAGGGCAATAGGAGAACTCTGGAAATTACGCATCACAGAACAATTGCTTCAGTGGGAAAAGAAGCGGTTGGGGGTTATTCATCTCAGAAGCACAGTAACAAAGTCATTATTATTATTTTTACTCCAGGAATTTCAATAGTAAAAGTGTTTTATATGTGTGTAGCTATAACACCTTTGCATTACTGACTGTACCCCACATTTGATTACATTGAGTTTTTCCTAAAAATAATAGCCTTCATTTCCCAAATGTAGCCAGCACTATTATTAATACAGACTTTCTCTTATATATTTTCAATCAACTTTTTTTTACCTTTTATTGTACACAAAAAAGCAAGTGCTCTTCAGACTGGATGCTAAGCTGTATGTGTGATGTTTTCTTTTTCCGGCCTAATGTTAGTTCTTAGAACACAATAATTTGAAATAATTCTGGTATTTTTTTAATTGATTGGATTAAAAGCTGTCAGGAAGATGAAAACTTCATCATATTGCCGGAAAAAAATGCCTGAATGTGTTTATGATTAGAATCTGTGTTGTTCAAGTGCTGCGCACCTGTGTTTTAAGGCTCATAGTTATGCAATAGGGATAGCTTTTTCAGTTTTTAGAAGGCCAGAAAGAGAAAACCGGGACTTAGGCTTTCTGAAGTTCTCTAGTTGAAGTGGCTTGTCTTTTAGTGAGTTCAAAGAGAGGATGCTTACCGATGGCACTCGGAGGACAGAAGTTGCAAACCCCAGTGCCTATAGAAGCTAGGAACCTGAATGTGTGATGTGGCCTGAGTGAAAAGTAATGGAGCATGGTGGGGACTGTAGCAAAGCCAAGAGAGCTCGGAGGCTCAGAGGGGGCTTTGCGTTTCGGCTCCAGCTGAGTGTTACCATGTGGAATTCCAGCCAAGTGTAGCCAGATATTTTTTTTTCAAGAGGAGCTAGAAATGTGAATTTCTATGTGACGTCTCCTCATTTTCAAATGTTAATTCAAAGGCTTTTATCACGATGTGATCTCTAACCTACAAACTAAACACAGCTCGTCTGCGGGCTGGGTTTGGCTCATGTACTGCCAATTTGTACCTTCTGAGAAAGAGTGTGTGTGTGTGAGTTGTATGTGTGTTTAGACAAGATAGGGTAGCAATAGTGATGGGGTTATATTTACTGAATCAATTAAATGTGTTTGTGCATAGCTTTAGATAACTAGAAGCAAATATGACATGACCTTGAGGTCCACCACCATTTTAGGAAGAGTGGGCACATCTGAATTCCAATTCAACGCTCTCGTGATATATTCTCATGGTAAGTCATGAAAGAGGTGAATAAGGCCATTCTTTGTTATTTTGGCTGACTAATTAGGATCATATTGGTTACCAGCATATAACCACAAATGAACCCCCAAAAGCTTAACTGAAATTTAATACAATTAAATTGGTTTCAAGTTATGCTGGGGCCGTGAGCAACTGTAGATGCAGCCACAACTTCGTATTTGTAATTGAATTGTCCGGTAGACATCCTTAGGGCATGACTTCACTGGAAGGAATGAAAGTAGGGACAAAATACTCTTTTAATTTTCCCTTCACTGGGGAGACCTACATAATTCAGTCATGGCAGTGTTCTGCTACTTGTGGTTGGTGCGGTTCCTTTTGCTCATAAAAATAAAATCATCTCATATCATCTCTCCTCGATTGTCTCGTAAATGTAAATCAAAGAGGGGAAAAAGCTATAAAACAAACACAAATACTCACTAGATGGGCTAAGAAATAATAGACTGGGATTATTCCTTAAAGTACTTAAGTCCAGTGCTTTGCATAACAGATACAGCTCTCTTTAGTCAATAGATGGATTCCAGAAAAGTTACTCGTAAATCAATTTTGCAAAAGGAAATCATATTTTAAGTGCATTAGATGAGTTTGCCATCTAAAGGAGAGCTAGCGCGAATCTTTTTGGAAAGAAAAAAAATTCCTTTTTAAAAATGAAATCTTGATTCTAATAGATCTTTGCTCCAAGTTCATGGAAACTTTGAGTAAATTTCAACTGAGGTCCTCATCTTGTTTTTTTTCTCTAGCACGTTGTACCTGAAGACCTCAAAAGCCTTTGCATGTAATGTGTTGAAAATGTTGCTTTTAGATTCAATTTGGATTTACATATCCACAAAGACTTGAATCAAATATAGAAATGCTTAAAAAGTTTGCAAAATCAAATGAATTTACAGGCAGAGGAGAGGCTGTATCTGAATCAAGGTTCTTGAGTTGTACGGGTAGCACAGGGTTCAGTGGGACTTAAGGTCCCTTGAGTTCTAATAAGATGGTCTTTAATCCCTATTTCACATTGTGTAGAAATTAAATGATTAGACCAAGTTAGATCATGCTTACCTCTGTATCTGGGCTCCTGTTCTGTCATATGTTATCTTATTTCTGTACCCTAATAAGCAGATGTGAAACTTAGCCCATTGCTTGATTTCTACAAAAATTCACCTGCAGACAAAGCATACATAGGTTCAGAAGACAGGGGGACGAGGTGGGGGCGGAGGGGGTATAGACAAAGGGAGTGTTTGCATTGCAGCAACAAAGAATTTCAAGTTGAACCTTAGACATCACCATGCTTAAAATGGCCTAACAATTCCACCACCGGGAAACGAAGTGGGTGAAGTCTTTTAGCCTCCAGCCATATTAATCGCTGTTTTTATTCTCTCCTCTGCTTGTATCTTCTCTTTATCCCCTCTCTTTCAGAAGAAAAAAGAAATCCTGCTCATGCAGAGGAGTTAAGTGTTCTCCTTTGTTGCCTTAACACCTGCCATGTCCTCGGATCTCACCTTCTAATCCAAGCAGTGCATCAAGGTATTTTCCAAAACAAAGAAAATTTCCTGTTTGGAAATTTTCAAACAACAAAACTTTCACCTCCATATCAAAAGGAGCAACAGTATCCTCTTCAAATTAACTTAAGTAGGATTAATAAAACCTTAGAAATTATTATTAGATCAGAGGAGAATCTCCCAGAACATGAGCCTACATGGAAAGAGTTGTTGGCCCCCTAAAGGACTGGAGCGAGAAGTGGAATGCAGTCAAGAGCTGAGTCAGCTGTCCTCTGGTCTTTTCTTGCTCTTTCTGAGGCCACATGCCTCTTGTGTCATAATCTCTATTCGGGCTTCCTCATTCTTCCCAGTAGGTAGGTGATTTCTGCTTCTTTGTGCACATGGCTGCCCCTCAGTCCAAGTTCACGTAAACCAGTTCCAGATACCATCTCAGATTTTCTAGCATCCTCAGTTCCCTTCCACATGCCTTGGTGAGAGACTCTGATTGACAGCCTTGGATCTGAGGCCCATTAGTCAAGGGGGGTGGGAGGGTCACGTAGTAAAAACAAAGGCTGCTGTGAGCCTACCTCTGAGGTTGGAGAAGGGACAACTTTTAGAGGAGAGGATAAGCTAAGTTCGTTCTCAAAATAGGAGTCCATTGCAGGCTAAATTCCTAAATAACTACAAGGTATTTGACCTGCAGACATTTTTGAAGTGTGGGATTGCTACAAGGTAGTATAGGGGAGGAAAACAATTCCTCTACCCTCTAGGTCCCTCTGGCTGGTCTAAGAATTATATTGACATGAAGCAGAACAACAGGAGAAAATCAAACAAAGTTTAATGACATGTATACGTAGGAGAAACCCAGGAAAACTAAGCAACTCGCCAGAATGGCCAAAGCTGCCACCTTAAATACCATTTTCAGCTGAAGACAAAGGAGGATGTTGGGGGTAGTAGTTTGGGGCTTCAAAGTGGAGGAAGGCAATTGACATGGAGACAGAAATGTGAATGTTTGTTAAACAAGTGTTTGCTGGGCCCTCCATAGACAGTGTGACCTGAGAGACACATTTTACATGATGCTACAGTTATCTTATGGTATTAGCTGCTTCCTGGAACAGGTCTTCTATCTTAAATTCTTTTAGGCAGCTAGGGAGGAAGGTCAAAGTTTCTTTCAGAGTCTTCTGTTCTTAAAAATAATCAAGCCAAAGTGTCGCATTTTCGGGGTGGCCAATTTTGATCCCCCACAGTATTCAGTAAAGTCCAGAGCATGAATGTATGATGGGGAATCTTGACAATAAAAGAAGGCAAAATGGGAGAAAGATAACCTTGATTCCTACCAGTAAGCCAAACAAAGGTGGAGTGACATTGAAGGAAACAAATTGAAAATAAGTCTGAAAGGCAATATAGGGCAAAAAGGAACCTGATGCAGACATGAAGTAATTGAATTTTAACTGCAAGACACTAAGGGAATTACTTCTCCACACACCAAATGTCCTAGGAGATCACGGTTGAAGGCGGAATAGTATGGAAACATGGAATGCTGTGAAGCAGGGGCTAGGCAGAGGGCTTAAGGAAACTTCACGATGATCTGTAGCCTTTTTCTATCACCTCTGTGTACGTCCGGAAGAGGAAATAGCACTGGCTGGGGATAAAGAAACATTTTTGGACAGTATTTAACAGCTTAATAAAATAGCCAGAAGTTATGGTATCTCATATGTTTAAAAATGGGAGAGATTCTCCTTTATCTGGGTAAATGGAAGCCAGAAGAACTCATGAACTCTTCATGAACTTCATGCTTCATGAGCTCTTAGACTCCATTGCTCTGGTCCACCACCTATTTGTTGACATAAATGGAGTCTTTTCACAAACAGAATCACACATCTCAAACCTCAAATTTTGGAGACAAAAGTTCCCAAATCTCTGCTAGAGCACCCCTTTTGTTGAATATGTCTTTTAGTAATGTTTAAAAGTTTCTAACAAACCACATTTCATTTTTACGGCCCGTAGACTGGTGAACACTCAGAAAATAATGTAATCCTCATTTTCCTCCACCAGGGTTTCTTCCTGGCCTATTTGAGCTTGAACGCTCTCTGGGCTCAGGTCACATGAAGACATTATCATCACCTCATTGTTCAAAGCACCTGATCGTAGAACCTGGCGGGTGAACAATTGCTGAATGACAAACGCCGTAAGCACTGGCCTGCCTTGCCTAATTATACAGCTGTCATAGTGCACTGGGCAATTTTTCTTTCCAACGTCTCCTCCCCTCTGCCCAGCTTCAAACCACATAGTAAAGAGAAGAATCCACAGAGCTCTGCATTCGGGCTTTCAGAGCAACCACAATGCAATCAAAGTATCAGGCTGCAGGAGCGGCAGAAACCATTTCTAGAGTGTGGTTGACCCATATGTTGCACTTGAGTTGTCATGTGGGTCAGACCAGGGTGCTGCTCATTGGGGCCACATGTGAAAATGATGATGACTCAGGCTCCCTGGCTCACTTGTTCTGATGTCTCGGCTCCTAACTTTGTCTTCTGGCTCTTTAAATTGGCAGAAAGGACACTGTGGATCCTTAAGGTCCATCACAGAGCCGAGGTGGTGGTGTTCACATATGAAAATCAAGCCCTCAGCTTTCCGGGATGTTGTCAGGATCAGCAAAGGACTAGATAATATGACAAGAGTGCAAGAAGTATAAATCAAGAGAAGGAGAACTATTAGCCATAAATTTAACCTATATTGTGAAACTTTATCATTTGCTCTCATTGGGAATCATCGTAAACATCTTATGATGCTAAGAGCAAAATCTTAATAAGTCCTTAGAACTGTGTGCGGCATAAAAAGGCCATTGCAGATGGGTTATGCTATGAGGTTGAAGCTTATCAGAATCTATGAACTCTAGTAAAAAGTGGCCAAAGGATAGTAGACAGACTTTACATTTCTCTCGTTCATGGCTGGCTGTTGGTGCTCACCTCAGAGATTTGGTGGTAGAAGATAAGACTGGTGATAGTATTTGCCTCCTGACGTTGGTTTGAAAGTACTCCCCAAATGACCAGTTTTAAGATCCAGTATAGCATAAACCATGCCTTTTATTTTCTTATATTTTTTTACTATCCATTACTATATTCTGCAGACAATAGAAGCTTCATAAACACTTGATAACTAGCATGTGGCAATGTTTTATTAAAGTCATGATGTCAACAGTCATTTTATATATATATAAAATTATGTATATAAATATAATATACAAATACGTAATATAATACTTACGCATATATATAATTTCCATTTACTCAACTATTCATTTAACATGAATTTACTAGATGTCTACTTGTGCCAGGATTTTTGCTCAGGTTTGGGAGGTATTAAGTTGTAAGAAATTATTCCAATATTCAGAATCAGGTTTGACATTATGTAATACACCAATTTAAATATTTAGTGACCAAACTATGGTTGCTTATTCAGATGTTACGTATATTTATTTGTTTATTTATTTATTTAGGGGTTATCATTTTGTTCTTGCATGAATACACTCGAACTCAATTGTGGGAAGACACAGACAATGAAAGCTTAGTTTTTCTGTAGAAACAACATGTTTTCCACTCCTTCTCCTTTCTGCTTCTCTTTACATTATCTGATTTTATTCAGTGGTTTAATCTCATGATAGACAGATCAAAGCCTTTGAAACCCAGGGAGGTCACATACTTTTTTTTCCTTTTAAAAAAGTTTTCATAGAATACTTTTAGCTTCCTTAACACCATTATTTTCCATTTCATCTCTAAGGAATTTTGATGACTCCCATGTTCTCAGCTTCCTTGGAAACTCAGTGAAGCCACATGGCTAAACTCAGGCCAATAAGATGTCAACAGAATTGGGTGCTACCTTAGAAAGTGTCTTTTAAAGGGATTGTTCACACAGTCCCTTGCTCCTCCCTTCATTCTCCTGCCTGGAATGCAGATTTGATGTGTGGAGTCCTAGCAGCCATTTTGGATCATGAGTACATGCACCGCTTTCTAGGGATAGGAGAGCAAGGAGATGAAAGGAGCCACCATGTTACCTCGGGATGCCTACCTCCTGACTTTTTTCACATGAATGAAGAATAAACTTCTATCTTGTTTAAATAAACTTGTTTGGGGTTTTCTGTACCTAATTCTGACAGATGTCTGAACCTAATTCTAACAGATACTTACAGTCTCCTGATTTTTGCTGACATCAATATTTAGATACACCTCTGTGGAAAATACCTTGAAAATTTAAAAATTCATGAAAAAAAAGTTCTTCAGCACTGACAGCTGGGAAATAGAGCTACTCAAATGCTAGAAACCATGAGAAATTCCTACCAGATTCAGTGGAGGTCAAAACAAAGGACCCTGCCTGGCCTCCCCCCACCCCCAAGGTAGAATACTATCTGTAAGGGAGTTCTGTGACTTTGAGAGAGACAAGAGGAAGAAATCGTAGACTTTAGGGACAACTGGAGAACTTGGAGAGGATGAATTGGAGATGAAGAAGGGTGTAGGGTGATGGAGAAAGCAGCATTTGGAGCTCCCATCCCACCAAGTGACACCAGAATTGAGGTGAGACTTTGGGTGGCTGGATGAACTGAGCAGAAGCCTCTAGAAGCACTGGTGGCAGTGTCCCTGGAAAAGTTATTTCCTGAGGCTGAAATGATCTCAATGGATGCAGCAGGGAGTCGCACGGAGAAGTCTGACCTGCAGATTTGTGAACATGGGCAGTTACATCAAAATGCCAGCTTCTGCAATGGCCGTAGTTACAGAGGAGCAGCTTCCTGGGAGGGCACATTTCTTCACGAATGTGGTGGGGAGCTGCTCAGGAGAGCTGGGTCTGGGAACTTCAGTGCACTGGGAGCAGAGGGCTGACAAAGATGGTAAAGGAACTCTCTTGATTAGTCAGGGAGATCATGCCTGCCCCTGGAAGGAAGCTGCCTTGTAGCTGGTCTGACCTCGGAATAGCAGCTTTGCTAAGAATGCAGAAGAAATTCCCTTCTTCACCCCGCCAGCATTTCCAGACCCCCGTCTCTGTTCCTATGTCCTCCAAGCCCATCACCTTGAAATCTGAACGGTGTCCTCTAGCCGCAAGTCAGGAAGAATCTCCCACCCCATTTCTGAGGGAAATACCAGTCCTGAGTAGACTTTTTACTATTTCAGTATGAGAAACCAGAAAAAAAAATGGATCTTGTGAATAAAGAAATGAGCATATAAAGAATCATAAAGAAATGAGCATATAATTTAGATAATCTGAAAATTCGTAAGGAAATGAGCATACAGTTTGAATCATAGAGAAATGAGCATATAGTTTAAATAATTGGAAGGAAGAACATATTTTGAATGTGTTCCTTTTAGCTTTCCTTTATTGTAAATTTAAATTTTTATCAAAGTAATATATTTAGTAGTAGTTTAAAAGTCAGCTGAAAAACTTATAATGCCGGTCTCCTCTTCCTCGTTGCCAATTCTCAATCCTTGGAGGCAATCATTTATAACTCTTAGTAGCTACCTCCAAATTTAACCAACACATTATGTTGTTAGTTTTTTTAGGTTTAGACATTATTTCCTACTAAAGGAAATAAGATCTTTCCCCCACATCTCTCATTATAATCGTATCAACACTTTATTAACCAGTATTTACATTATTATGGTTATGCAAATAATATCCATAGTTCAGCCACTTTTGTATCGTTTCCTGTCTTGTGCAATTTTTTGTTTTGGCCAGAGTTAATAATTACCTCCTTTCTGTTTGTTTGCTTAATTTTTATATACCCAAAACTAACTTATTGTTAAATTCTCCAAATTAAAAGTAAATCTCCTTATTATAGTCCAAGAGTTTTGGCACATGGCTCCTGGGCACTCCATTCTCCTGCCCCCATCTGGCGTGACTTCTTCTAGGCTTCCTGCAGAGTTGCCATCCTGGGATCTCCCTTTACCGTTTTCCTAGATTTCCCTTAGTCTCTAACTGTCTGGGAGTTCCAGTGTTCTGATTTCCACATTTTCCTCTCTCTTGGTTTATACCTTTGTTTTGATGGAGCACATCCACAAATGGCTTTCTGCAAAAGGAGTGTAGGAGGAACAATTTTTGAGACCTTGCCGGCCTGAAACTATCCTTACTGGGCTTTGACATTTGATTTATAATTTGGCTGGACTTAGGGTTCTGACTTGGAAACAATTGCTGACAGAATTTAGAAGACCTTGATCCTTCATCGTTTAGCTTCCAGTGTTGCTAAGTCAAATGCCATTCTCATTCTCCATCCTTCAAAACAGATTTGTTATTTCTCTTTGGAGACCTTTAGGCTGTTCTCTTGATTTCTTGTATTCTGAAATTTCACAAAGATTTTCCCTGTAGTGGGTCTATTCATTATGACTGGCACTGGAAGTTTTGTGCCGTTTTCTTTACAGAGGGCTAATTTTATTGTATTATTTCTTTGATAATTTCTTGTTCTTCATTATTTTAAAAATTTTCTTCCTTCTAGAATTCCTATTATTTCACTGTTGGACCTCTGGGACCCCTTCTCTGGTTTTATTAATTTTTCCCCTCCTATTGTCTATCTTTTCTGGTGTGTTTACTTTCTGCAGATTTCCTCAGTTATCTTCCATTCTTTTACAACATTTTAATTGTATTGTTCTCTGAAAGTTCCTTTTAAAAATGCCAGCATGTTATTATTTCATGATGCAGAAATCTCTGATTACTTTGAGACTATTAATACTACTTTTTATTTTTAATTTCTAAAACTTTTTTCTGCTTGCTGCATTGTCTTTGTTTCCTCCAAGTGTATTTTATTTGTTTATTTTGGCCTGTCTTTCCTGTAAAGAGACTTTTGTCAAGTGTGTGGTGAACTTTGGCCGTATGTTCATATTCAAAATGAAAATTGGAATTCCTGTGTGCTGGGGCGGGGCCTGTCAGCTGGGGGCCTCTGAGTGTCATTATCTAAAGGTCTTTTTTGGGGGACCATTTCTCGAGAGGAAGCCTCCAATTTCTTACCTGGGTATTGGGGGTCTCTATATGTATTATTTGTCCGGATCCCCGATTCCATTTTCAGAATATCTCACTTCACCCTCAGCTGTGCCTGAGGACCCTGACTCTGGATTCTCACTGGTTTTGTCTCTCCAGGGGGGTGATCTCCCCAGGGAAGGTCCTCTGGGGTTGGATAACATTCTTGGCTGGATAAATGGAAAATCTTTGCAAAGATTTTCAACTATTTCTCCTATTTTAAGCCTTACCTTGCAATTCTGTTTTTAGGAGTACCTGAAATAATCAATTTATGAGCCTTTCTAGGGCTGTGTGCTACACATTATCTTGCTCGTTCAGTTTGTTCTTTTCCTTTAGTCTTAGGTTTCCACTTTTTGAACACACGCACACACACACATACAACTAGGATCGGACTATTCATACAGAAAAGCATATTTAAAAAAATTACTGAAGGAAACAGAAATACATTTTATAAACTATTTTGTGGTCTTTCAAATATTGGAAAAACATGAGTTCCATAAAATAAAACCTGTAAGATGAGATGATAATACAATAAACAGATTTGAAATTGGACTTGGTTTGAAAGGCAAGCAGAAATTTCAAATGTTATGAGAAAAAAAAAGAACTATTTTAAAGTAAACGTTTAAGAACAGAGATTAAATATGCCAGAGGAGTATAGAAATGACACCAGGGTAAATCAAATCAAGGGTATAGAATATATGCTTGATAAAAATCTCCCGGAACGCAGAGGTAACTGACAAAGAAATAAGGACATTCGGAGATGAGGTAAGTAATTTGGAGGATAAATTACTGAGATCCTGCTTATAGAGAATGAGAGTTACTGAAGAGGATGTCAGAATAAATACAAGGGAAGCAATATTCCAAAAAATTGAATAGCACTTGGCTGGGCTGGTGAATTAAGTTCTGGCTTTGTAAACTGAATGAGCTCAACAAATCTCAGAAAATATGAATGATAATAACTCAACAAATAGATGTATTCTGGTGAAAGTCTTAAACTTCAAGAGGGAAAAAACCAATCTGACATGCCGCTAAGCAGTAAAGGCTGGTCATCTACAAAAGAAAAAACCAAAACAAACCCAAAACTTGCAGCCTCAGATTTTTCTCTGCAATCGGAAGCACAAGAAGACTACAAAGTGATTTCCTGAATTTTAAATGGGAAAAAAGATTGTTAATGAAGATTTCTATAGTGAGGTTTTATTCACATACAATGTAATAGAAACATTTTATTGGATAAACAAGGACTCACAATGCAAAACTTACATGTATACTTTCTTTTAAAAATATACACAAAATTTTCCTAACAACTAAGAGATGAATACACACACACACACGAACACACACAAGCATAGCAAAGTAATGAAATATAGAAAGATGAGGGCTATTATCATAAACATATCAATCTTAATAATGGTAAATTAAGGAAACAATAAAATGTTAATAATTCTAAAAAATATGTATATTTTAAAGTAAGAATAATTATTTGAAAGCAAGAAACTCAGCCTCAGATCCTAGATTACATCACAAAAACTGGTAGGAAAAAGTAACAGTTGTCATTTTCTCATCTAAGGAATCTGTTTCTATCTAAAGTTAAAAGTTAGAGGAAAATAAATTTTCATACACGGTTGGAAAATATAACAACAAGTGGGAGGTTAATTTCCTATAAATAACTAGAGAGGTGAGAGGGAGAAATATAATTTGAATAAAATAGATAGAAAACAAATGAAACATCAAGGATGGATTGAAAAAACAGAAGGCATAAAAAAAAGACAGAAGAAGGAAACCGTAAGGGAACATGTGCTTTGCTGAAAAACTGTGCCACGTCTCCAGACAGCACACCCCTCCAGGTTATCTAACTCTAGCCTCTCATTTTCTTCGAGTTATTTCACAGCTGTAACTTGTAGGTGACTGACAGCAATGCAAATTAATTCTTGCCTATAAACATGAAATTCTGTCCTGACCTGGTCAGTTGAACTACCTCTCCACGTGGCCCCCCAAAACCAGTTTGCCTCTGTTTGCACACTCATGTCAATGTTCCTGATCTGTAAATGTGTCTGTTCTTCAGATTCTCTTTTGAACTGGTTGTGACATCTCTCTGGTTCCCTCATGAGTTAACTGACATCTTTAACACGTTCATTTCTACTTTTGTACGGTAGTCACATTTGAACTTTTTTGGAAATTTTTCTTTTAGCAAAACTGATCAGTTCTGATTAGTATAAATGGGCTAACTCCTGAGCAGAAGAGAAACAAAGATATCAGACATAAGCAACATAATAGCAGTTTTGCTGTATTATAGGAACTCAAAAAGATTTTTAAAAAAAGTTTGGCAACAATATATTGGGCAAGTTCAGACACAAAAAACAAGGTTAGAAATATTAGTATATGACTAAGTAGAATTTATGTCAAGTAATAATAAATAGGGTAAAGAAAGTCAATGTAAGTATTTGAAACGGTAATCTGCAGTGAATTTGTAATAGGTTCTGAATATATCACTGAAATTGATAATGCAGAAAATGTAAACAAGGAGAAATTTTTAGGTCCAAAAGTAGTAAGAATCTCTGTTAGGCCTCTCGTTTCTACTTGACACGTAGAGCAGGTGAAATAAATAAATAAATAAACGATGGTCCAAGCAATATAATTGGCAATATTGATTTATTGGTCATATATTGAACTTTGCATTTTATAAGTGGGTATTCGACACAGCCATGAAGGTTGCCCTCTTCCCGAATTGGTTTGCAGTCTCAGAATGTTTGATGTGGCCAGAAAAACAGACCATTAATTTCATTAAAATAAAAGAGAGAAGAATATACTTAACAGACATTCTCATCATATCCTTGGATCTTACTGTGTCCTTTCGTCTTTAACTCATTCAGCTTCACCCCCATTGAAACCTGCCAAAATGATTGATAGACTGATAAGTAAATACAAGAGGTATTGCTTGGGGAAAAAAACAGAAAATAGATGAACCCCTAGATAATCTAATAAAAAGTAAAACAGAAAATAATACGACCATGCATGCATTTATTTCTTATTTAATTAAAAATAAAGAAAAGTGATATGTACAGCGATTTATGCAAAAGAAGGTATGGTAGAGCCACTAGTTATAAATTACAAAATTGGGGCAATCTAAATGTTCAAGAATAGGCTATTGTATCATATTACATTTCTTATATTTTATATTTATTTAATCAAATTCTATCCTGCCATTAAGAAAAATACTGTAGGGACATTCTTAGTACCACAGAAAATGCTCACAGTATGCTACTAAGTGGAAACAATCGATTGCAGACAAAAAGCAGAGTAT